ATAAATATGTATATATATTTTAATAAATATGTATATATATTTTAATCATATTAAAATAAGTAAATAATACAAAATTTAGTAATTAAATTTAGTATTTAAATGTCACTTTACAATAAATAGGCGTTTATTTTTGACAATATCTAATTAAATGCAATAAACGAAGGAAAGATAAAAGATTTCAGAAGAAATACATTCATTATACATAAAAGTGATTGCTGCAAAATGATTAGAAATATTTCTAAAATAGTCGTAATGATTGAAAAGAGTAAATAAAAATGACAGAGCTTTTAATTCAAAATTTGTTTTGTTATCTAAATTTATTTATTCTATTAAATTTCTATATGATCGAGTGCTGATGCAATTAAATATAAATGTAATTCAACAACTTAATTACATTTTGTGGAATTAAAGAAATGATGAATTTAATTTTTTTATGGGGAAAATTCTTTTTCCGCAATTTTTCTTAAAAACAAACATTCGGTCTAGAATATATACGGATGTTACTATGACCTTTTGCGGCGAAGCACGAAACTACGTCACGACGTGGATATAGGAAGATGCTGCCCGGTAGGAAGGTGATAGCCACGACGTGATCACGTTAGCAATGACGCCAGAGATCCCAGCGGGTCGATAACAATGAGACCGACAACGATTGCCCGAGAACATTTCTGGCGCCCTGGTCTCTCCTTCCAGAGCCGTCGGCTTTTTTGTTGCTCACTCGTTTTTGCTCGTGCTTTTATTCTTTGTGTAAATCTTTTTCGACCACCCATCTACTCTCTTCCCTGGCCGCTCCTCCATTTCAATTAGTTAATGCCCGTAAGTAAAAAGGACGCAATACGTATTCTTGGATTATTGCGGAAAAGAAATCAATCCGCTGAAAAGCGTCTCGGTGTAAGCATCGCGAATTTATCTCGCTAATTCGACACACGTAAAGATACGTGCGTTTAAATGCATAATCCTGACGTCGATAATACAGAGGCATAATATTCGTGGATTAGTCTTACCATCAGCTAATCGTTCGATACTAGTTTCCATTTAATTTCCAAGGAATGCAGCACTTTCAAGTAATTTGGAGAATTACTTCGATATCAGACATTTTTTTATTCTTTGTATTTCTCGATAATTATTGGATTTATTTTAAAAGAATATATATTCTTTTAAATAATGTTGAATATGGCGATCATCAAAATTGGCCCAGTGCCAGTACCACTTGTTGTAATTTGTGCTTTTACTAAAACAAATTATTTTGAATACTTTTGATGTAGATATATATAAGAAATAAATTGATATAATGTTCAAATTAGAGCTGCTCTCATTAATTACTACATATTTATTTCAATAAATGCTATAATTTTGATTTACGACATTAAAATTGTAAAATTCTCATTAGTATTTTTGCTTAAAGAAATTTAAATTGACGTATTTCATGATAAATCTGGATAGTGAAAGTATTGATACTATTATGTATCATGAAATTCCACTTGTTTCGCATCAGCCTCGGTGTTTGAACTGTCCTCGGAAAAAATCAGGAAGTCGTATTGCTATGACGGAGATTTGCGCGATCGTCTGGTTAAACGTTTTATTTGATAGTCTATCGGCGTCTCTAAGCAGCGCGGAATTATTCGTGAAAGTAATTGGGACCTCTTGTTATGAAACTCGCGATCGTCTCTCAAGAAAGTAATTCAACGATGGTGTAAGATACTTTCGTAATTCTCAACTGCATCCCTAATTGGGTCTGCATATGCCAATCGATTCTCTCCTTCAGTCAAGCATCTAGCTTGCGTTAAAATCGTGGGAGCGAATAACGCGCAGATGGCCCGACGTGTAAGATGAATCTTTCGTCGTTCTTGCGATCGATACGAAAGTGCAATCTGCAAAGTTGCGAATCCGAACATGTTCATGGTATGGGTCTCGAATGTTTTTCATTCTTAGAATTTGACCGCGGAACCGAATTAAGCCAGAGAATGCATTAACGACAGTCGATAAATGCTGTAATATTATTACGTAGATTCTCTTAAAGTATAAAGATTTAATGAACAACATGAATTAATCAACATACATAGTTCTCTATCATATTTAAAAAATAAAAAAGTTATTATATAATTATACTTCACAAGGTATTGTTCTATTCTTTAGATTTGAATAACATTATATTTACATTACAAAGAAAGATTACATAAGTTATATACATATTTATTATATTATAATATATTTACAATATAATTTAAAAAATTATTTCAACTTTGCGACTCCGTCGATAACCAGCTCGACAAATCAATTCGGCTCTAAAATGAAATTTGTAGGAATACAAGAAATAAATGTTGATACCATTAAAAATAAAGAAAAAAAAGTAAAAATGTTTTTATATAATAATACATATCATTAACATATACTATTATAAATATTATTCCATAATAGTGCAAGCCAGTGTTATTATTAATTGATAGGATGTTAAATAGTATGATTATTCAAATTCTAACGAAAAATACAAATGAATCAGCCAAAGAGAGAAAGGAAGAGAATTAATTCATGTATGCGCACTTGATTGTTGATATCGTTATTCAAACTTAAAATTTAATAAAAGTTGATATCGTTATTCAAACTTAAAATAATAAATATAAAATAATTTAAATATAAAATAAAAAAACATAAAATAATTTATGAGAGTGATGACAATTTAATTGATGAAGAAGTTTCTACGTAAGAATTTAATTTATTTTCCTTTTTTAAATAAATCTCTAAAATAAAATGTGTAAATGTTATAATGTCAAAAGCATGGTTACGTTATTCACTAATTCAAACTTGCATTATGAATTAAGACAAACGGAGTAAAAAGACTTGTCTTGATTATTTGCACAGACGGATTCATGTGTGGATTGCAAGACTTAATAAAAAGATAGGCCCGTCAATGTGATTGAAGGCATCGCCGATGGAAGATTGCGGAGATGTGCAGTTCCTTGCGGAGGAACTTCCGCCGATACTCGGCTCCTTGACGTTCCTCCAGGGAGTTTCGGCTTTGCGACGGAGGGCGATAGTGGCGTAGGGTGCATACCGAAGGGAAGATGAGAATGGGTGAAGGAAAGGAAACTAGGGAAGGGTAAGCGAATAGATGAAGAGACTCGATGTAGAAACGAAAAGGAGAAAGAGAGGGAGAGAGAGAGAGAGAGAGAGAGAGAGAGAGAGAGAGAGAGAGAGAGAGAGAGAG